CAAATTACGCTTCCTCTAAGCGCAACGCTACGGCAGCCCCGCTGCAACAAATCTGACCTCGTACTTGACTAAAGAAGGGCTTCAAAAGCTTTCGAGTCGTGTGTTTAAGCTAGACGAGCTCGATGGGAGGTGAAGATTGTTTTAATATACGCGAACAAAAGCACAATTTTCTTCTCAAGCATAAAATACATAAAAAATGCGTTTGGGTCAAGAAGACATAAAATAAAACTCGTTATTCACCGGATAGGATCCGAAAATGAATAAGAGTATATAAATTTGTTTTCCTTTAGGCAACAAGCGGTGACAAAGTCATAGCGGTTTCCTATGACACTATATTCACTCTAGGAGTCACAGGCAAAATTTCTATCAGATACCTTACATTCCAATTTGGCGGAAGAAACCGGATCAATGAGCAGTGGTTGTTTGGCATGCAGTCGGTCGCCGATGACCTGATTGGCATGTGCCCGTATTTGGCATGCGCTGCTCGGAACATCAATCATCATTTTAACCAATTTTAAAGAATTAGTGTGACAATATATTTGCGACTTAAAGGCAACACTGGATTGTATTGTGAACTTTCAAGCGGCGTTAGTCGTCATGCTTCGTGTATTGTACGGATTTGGACAACGCAGTTAATGTGTACTCCCGAATGTCTACGATCGTGATTAGTAAATAATCTCATACTGCGATCTCTTGAAGAATCGCGCGATTTGGCGTAGGCAACGGCTGAAACAAACACGATGCGCACGCACAACAAGCGTAGTTTACTTTTTGTGCAGATGCTGAGCGAGCTGGGGATATGTCAGTCATTTTTGAAGCGAATTAGACCAATAGCGCATCTGCTAGAAACCAACTCATCACCTACGTATCAAACATATTGAATTACGCTACTTCTTCGTCATGGATACATACGTTATGTTCAGAGATAATACCGCCTACAAAATGCTTTAGTGCCTATCTAAGGAGAGGTTTGAAATATTAAGAAAAATGGTCTTGAAGTAGGTTTCCTGACTCAGTGCCAATATTCAGGGCATTGCCATTTCTTATTAGCAAGGAAGCCGCCGAGAAGTTAATGTTTTTGCAGCGATTGAGATGGCTACAATTTTATAAAATGAATCATGACTATGTTCTGAGCTGAGTGGGATAGGCCAAACGTGCTAGACGATGTTCATGCTTCTGCGGTTGTCTCGCACATGTGTATTGTGATATTACGATGAACGATCTCCGCCGCCTAAAGTAAGCAAGAAGGAGAAACGTGGAGGTGTGCATCAAAAAATCATAGAAGCAATGGTGTGTACACTATAGGTGTGTTTAGCTTGCTAGTGTTGCAGTTCCTTTAACGTCGCATGATGCAGTAATAAACGTGTAAGACAGTATGCCTAGGCAGGGCTCGGCATTTGCACTTTGGTTCTGTGTAGTTTGGTGGCAGGAGTAGACAAAAAATGATTGAAGCAGGAAATTAGCGAGGAGTTTACTCATACCCTTATTAGAAATCGTAGCGATTTTTCTGTCGCTTTGAAATACACAAAGTCTGGCCCAAGTCCGGCTTGAGTTCGACTTGTAATTAAATAAAGGCTTGTATAGGTCAAGTGTGTTGGAGATCGTATACAGTAGAATAGAGAGAATATATTTAGCATAGAATTATCAAGCTCATCTTAATGATATATTTGCTCGCTAAGATTCTTTGATTTTTTACAGACCCGAATTGTCATGGCTTTACCTAAGCCCGTGACTTGCAAAGTCATTTGCGACTACTTCATACCATTAAATTGATGTCTTAAGCAATTTTAGATTTCATCTAATTTGAAAGCGTAAATTTTACGGTTTGAGAAATACTGTGACATCTTCCCAACACAATCAAGAGTAGCCTTTCGATTTTGAGATTCTTGAGAAGGATTCCTTCTTGCTCTATTTAGATAAGAGGTATCAGATCAGGAAATACCTTCGTTTTTGGAGGCAAAAACTGGGTTTTTGCTTATTTTACGGATTAAGTGTGGAATATGCGTACGCCTGTATAGTTTTGCTAGTCCGTACGTATGTCTCATTTTCGGAATGGGGACTGGTCGAACAAAGTGCGAAAAAGCCAATTGTTAAAAGAAGATGATTAAGGAACGTCTTGCGCAAAAAATGCAAATTTCAGGCAGCCGCGATAAATTTTGTATGACAACGTTTCAAGAGAACGAGCAGCAATTTTTTCCGCCTCCCATTCTCTTGAAAGGATGTCAAACAACATTTCGAAAGTATCCACTCGTTTCAAAAAACAATTTTTAACGTGCAAGAGGTTATTGGGTACGTCAAATAACGGTTGTGTTTGATGTCTGGCGAGAGACAAATGCAGTACCATCGGGGCTACAAACATCGGGATCCCAGCGCAACGGCGCCTGTTTGAGCTTCATAGAATTTGGCGCGGCAGCAAGCTCTTTTAGCAAATGCTTTAAGAATAATGTTCATTCAGCTGATCTATCTGTCAAAACCAACGATGGCGCAAGTTTGCCAATGATATCGATGAAGCAAATTTTAACATAAAGACGGTGTACACAATGGCTATCGGTGGGGTTAGATGTATCCCAAGTATTGAATCTCGCTTTGTCCCGCTGTGAGCGCTACTCGGTTCAACAGCCTGTCGGTCACCAGGCACGGGTGATGATTGATCGTTTGTAGATACTTGGAGCGTAATAGCGCCTTTATCAGGGATTTATGATTCATGAATCCATACGGCGCGCTAGGAGGTTTGCTGGCTACTGCTGTGTCGCTGAGAGGATAAACACACAAGAAAGATGATTTCCGTGATGTCTGATAAAATTATTAACTTTTGCTTTCACTGTTTGCGCTATAATTCCAGGGAGTTTGATTCACTGTGTGATCTGCGTGAATTTGAGTGGCTGAGAATATTGGTGAACATTGAAATTTCTGTAAGGCCAGAAATCTGGGTAAGGTCTGCCCGAGCTGAGAGTGTAAAGGGGTTACACGTCCCTTGTATGGAAGGGCGGGTCGCACAAGATGGTGTGCCGGAAATAGGTGTGGATTACACAAGTTGGTGTAAGTACACAGTGGTGTGGCTACATCCTAACAAGAAGCCACCACGTGGCAGGATTGCTAGTAGTAATGCATATAACTATATTAATTAGATTTTACTGTATTAATTAGGTATTTCTTTAATAATTAGAAAAACCTAGGGTTTTAGATATTGACGGCTCTGCCGCAACTAAAACTATTAAACACACTTTCCATTTTAAACGGAAGAGTGTATCTGCTTTGGTTTTGGTCTTGAAAACTCTTGGAGGTAGCGAATTGCGATCCGCTACACTCGTACTGGTTCTTGTAAAGACCTTAAGGTCGTTGACCATAGCTTAGCTTTCTCTAGGCAAAGAGCTACGGCAGCCTCACTGCGTAGAGGTTTAGGATAACCAGCAGTCTTGTATAGTCTAATAAGTGTAGTTTTATTTTTCTGCGCATATATGATATCATAAGTCATTGGTCTAAATTAATTTAAGTATCGGGATCAATTTTGGGCGTGAATAGGGTATTGCGGCTTTTCTGTTGGAGGCCCGGGCCTGCGTTAATGTATCATGTGCTTTTGCGTGCTCGGTCAATTGGTGTTCGAAATGCCCATCATGTGTTTCACATTCCTTTTTTCTCATTGAAAGTGGCTGTGCTTCTTAAAATGGCTAGCGGCTCACGTGTACTGCGGGTCTATCTATTGCATATAATCGCCATTTTGTCAACATCGATACGTCGACAATTTTAAATTCATTACATCCCTATTAAAACACAACGTTAGTTTCGCACAAATGTACAGCATTTGATTTTGCACAATCTTATTAGATTGTAATTTTGATGTAAATAATGGTACAGCATTTACCCTGTTACACACTAACCCAATAAACTTTGGACCTCCCTGGGGTTGACACTACTTTTGTCTTACACAAAAAGCGTCAAAGTATTTCTGAACAAGATATCACTGCGCTCCAAGTCTAAATCCGTCTAAATCCACTCTTCGCACTTTCCTTGTCTGCTTCTTAAAGTATATTTACAACGACAGTCCCCTCCCTCCTGCAATAGGTCAATTGGCTCAGCGAGGCTCCAGAAAAGCAGACCTATCGCGATTGATGCCTTTACAGCGATATTTAGTAAAGGGCTCAAGTTTTCCCACACAAATATTTGTTCTGCTGCGTGAAAAGAAACAGTAAGTCTTGACCAGGGAGAAATTGCTCAAAGCGCTCAGCCTTTCATCTGCACGAATTTTGAGCTCCAAGCCCTTTTCGAAAGAAACTAGTTATGCTGATCCCTGCCGTGGAAGTCGCGACAGCATCCAGCTCGCCACTAACAAGCTAAGTCTGGTTCAGAAGGGCCAACTTTCTAATATGCAAGCAAAAGAGTCATACCGTCTCTTGTTTAATCACGCCGTGATTCCGCTTTAAAATGTCTGAAGTTGCTTGCTGTGCTGGGGTAGAGATCTTATACGCCTATACGTGCAGACACTGAGAGCAAATGTGCGTCAGTAACTTGTTTCGTGTGCGCTAACTCTCTCATACACATGTCATTCCTCCTCACGATAACTACCTGCGCTAGCACAGCTGCGGTTGGAACCATCTATGCCCTACAAACACGGATGTACAAAAACGGATGTACATTGGGTGCTGGATGTAAGTGAAGAAGAGTATAGTACTCATACTAAGTACTTGGTGGGGAAAAGGCACCGTGCACTTGTAATATGGCTTTGCATGCCAGCTTCAACAAAACGAACGTCCACTTGGAGCGTTAAATGAAGCTTGAAGTACAAAGCACGACGCGGGTGTCAGATTAAGTTTTCTAGCGTCCAATTCCTGTTGTTTACAGCCCCGCTGGTCTCTATGACAAGTGAATTGATCACAACAAGGTTGATCCCCACTTTTGAGGCTGCAACGACACACGAGATAGCCTCTTTTCTAAGATGGATATATGCCTAGGAAGCGCTAGGTCGTGAAGGGGATCGGCGTTAGTCTTGCCTCAAATCCCATCAGAAATTCAAATTTAATAGCCTTTACACTTCACCAAATCTATGTTATAGTCCGGTGTAGTCGCCGGCCCTCCAAATATTGCACAAGAAAGAAATCCATTGCTCATCAATCAGCACTAAGGGGATTCAACTTTCTGTGACTGATTCTCACGAGCTCGCGATGCTGTGGCTGCAATCGACTCTACCAGAGTTTGGACATGTGTCAAAAAGTGAGATGGGTCAGTTTCGGATGCATCCTCTGGAACACGCCTTCGTAATGCTTTCGAAAAGAAGATATAACCGTTACAAGCGACAATAAAGACGCTGCTTTGTCTGTATTAAAGAAAATTACATTCGACTGGCTTGTAATAGCGGGATTTTGACACGACTTTTATAAACCTAAATAAAAGATACGACGTGGTGTTGCCTTTTTCGGACGATACGAGTGTGAAGTCATAACTTTATCTCAACAACCGCGAGCGATCAGGTGGATCATGGCCATAAAGTCGGGAACGCTGCGTATAA